TGGACTAGGCACTGGCATTGGTGCATAGCTTCCCAAGGGGAGTACTTCGAAGGTGACCGTGGTGATATTCAGCAATGAGGTGTGCAGCACTTCTAGGATGAGTTCGCGAACTTAATTATCCAAACTTGTATATCAGAATTCAAGCACGTTTTATCACTTTCATTGCTCCCTCTCTAACCCAAGCCATATCATCTCTCCCCTTTACTACTGCCATAACTTCCTAACTGGTTTGCTTTGCACCCTGCCCCACTCCTCCAAGCCAGTTTCCTATGTAGCAGCTCTGACCCTTTTAAAAGGCAATCAGATCATTGCTATTTCTCTTCTCAAAAACCTCCAGTGACTTCCTATCCCACCCAGAATGAAATCCCCAATCCTTACCATGCTCTACAAGGCCACATGTTATCTCCTATAATTATTCTCCCCCTCAGTCATTCCACTGACTACCTTGCTATTCCTCCAAAAGCCAAATATGGTCCTACCTCAGGTCATCTGTACTTTGTTGTTCTCTCCGCCTGGAATGTTCCTTCTCCAGATATCCACGTGGCTCACTGCTTCACTTCAGACAGGCCTTCCCTGTCACATTCTATCCCCTTACATTGCCTTATTTTTCTTCACAGCACTGATTTCCATTCTTATTGCTCATTTATTGTTTATCTTCTCCTCTACAAGATTTTGATCTTTAGATTCTACAAGTGTCTGGTTCTCAGTAAATATTAGAGGAATTAGTATAAGTAAATGCTAAATAGCAGTGGTAACCGTGAGCACTTTTGTCTTGTTTTTTACTTTAAAGTGAATTCTAATTAATATTTTACCACTAAGTACATTTGCTATAGGTATTAATAGATATCAATCAGGTTAAGTAAATTATTCTTGGTTTGTTATGAATGTATTTATGCATGGATGTTGAAGTTTTACCAATTACTTTTACTGTATTTACTGACATAATTATATAGTTTTTCTCCTATCTGATAAGGTTAAACTACAGGTTTTTCTGGAAAACGCCTACTTAAACATAATATATAGCATACAAATTTTAAAAACACATCGCTAGATTTGGTTTGCTAATACTTTAGGACTTTGACTTTCATAAAAGTGAGACTAGACTGTCATTTATTTTTCTTTATTCATGGTCCTTATCTGGTCATGGTATTAAGGTTACACTCATTTCATAAAACGAAATAAGAAACCTTTTTGTCTTAATTCTCTCACTTTATAGAAGATAGGATTTACCTCTGCCCTGAAGGTTTGACAGAACACTAAGACACTGGGCCTAGGATTTTTTGTTTGTTTTTGTGGGTAAAATTGTAAATTCAAAATTCGTTTAATCATTATAGGTCTATTCAGTTTTTCTATTTCTAACTGAGACAACTTTCACAAACTTATTAATTGCATTGTTCAAATATTCTGTATCATCTAACCCCAAACTTCTTTATCTTATTACAATTTTCTACTAACATCTGTAGATTTGTTAAGTTTCTCCTTGTTTGTCAAATTATATATAAATATATACACTCATATATGTACACACATTTAAGAAAAGCCTTATCTTCTTAGCAAATTGTTCACTTCTCATTATAATGACACTCTTTAGCCCTAAAAATATTTTTAGCTTTAGTGAGCATATTTTCCTTAACACCAATATTTTTATACCTGCTTTGGTATTTGCCGAGTACAGTAGTTACCCCTTTATCATGGGGGATAGGTTCCAAGACCCCCAGTGGATGCCTGAAACCATGGATACCAAACCCTATACATACTATGTTTTTCCCATACATACATACCAAGATAAAGTTTAATTTATAAATTAAGCACAGTAAGAGATTAACAACAATAACTAATAAAGTAGAACAATTATAACAATGTACTGTAATAAAAGTTATGTGAAAGTGGTCTCCCTCTCAAAATATCTTATTATATTGTGCTCACCTTTTCACTTAAAGGCTCCACAGCTTCTCTATGGAATATCCAAATTGCCAGCATCACTATTCTTGCACTTTGGGGCCATTATTGAGTATCAGAGGTACTTTAACACAATCACTATGATACCTCAACAGTCGATCTGATAACCAAGACAGCTACTAAGTGACCAACGGGCGGGGAGTTTATGCAGTGTGGGTACATTGGACAAAGGGATGATTCACGTCCTGGGTGGGACGCGTGAGACAGCTCGAGATTTCATCATGCTACTCAGAATGGCACCTATTTTAAAACTTATGAATTGATCATTTCTGGATCAAGATTGACTATGGGGTGACTGACACTACAGAAATCAAAACATCAGAAAAGAGAGATTACTGTATATGTTTTCCATGCTTTAGTTTCTCCCATTTTATTTAGATGTATTTTAGGTGTCACTCTTAAAAACAGCACTTAGGGGAGGGGGAGTTGCCACTTTTTGAGGGGTAAAAAGTATAACTATTGCACTGTTTTGTACACTTGAAACTAATAAAAAAAAATTTTTAAAACAGCACTTAAATTAAAAAAAAATAAAATCTGATCATCTCTG